AACCATATTCTCTCCATCTCCTCGTAATGCCTAATGTTAGGTAGCATACTTAGCGGGTTAAAACCAGATTAGGCTCTCAGCTTAGTGTAAGAGATCCATTACAGAGTGTGTGTGAGTGTCTGTGTGAGTGTGTGTATGTGTAAGAGTATTAGATGGGCTTTGAGGTAATTGATTTGGGTGGAGGCGGTATCTGAAGACAGACAGAGGCACATGGAAATGGAGATAGAAAAACTGGGAGAGAAGTAGTGATAGAGACCAAAGGACAGATGGCATAAATCCAATAGATATGAAGAAATACAGTAGTCAGAGAGGAGTATGGTGGGAAGAAAACTCACAAAAAGACAATACAGAGAGATCAATAAAGATACAGATGCAGTAGGGGGAGAAAGACAAATACAGGCAGGCTGAAGACACAGAGCTACAGAAAGGTGGTGATAGATTTTCTATGTGTTAGCCCGATCCTGACCTTGTATTAGATCTGCCTACATTGATGTTCTCTGTGAAAATTGAAACGCCTGTGAAGCAGATGTCCCAATTGTTGCTCATTTCAACATTTTTTGGCTAATATTTTCCATCCAACACTCCAGCCCCTACCTGATCTCCACATACACTGAGTCACAGATGCCTGCACATACAGAGGAGCAGTTTCTACTCTTGCTTTGTTGTCTGGGTATTTTTTAACCAAAGAATATGGACATTGTGTCTGCCTGTCTCTATTTTGAGGGATTGGTATGTAGTTACCTACTGTAGCTTTGATGTAGGATGAAAGAGGTGGTGTTTATGTGCAGGTCAGTGTGGGCGCCCTGCATTACAGATGTTTTTAAGCCACCTCCAGATCTCCTGTCTGCTCCGCATATGTTTCACTGTTAATACATATTGATTTGACGGCCTACAGCAGAGTTGAAAGGAAACTGCCGTCAGCATTGAGGCGATGTCAAGATTAACAATAACTGCTACCTGCATTTAATGCTTAAATTATTTTTTGATTAGTTTTTTTTTTAGTTTAGTTTTAGTTTTTGTTGAAATACAAGTGACAATTTTGATTAATGATTGAAGTCCGTTATTGAGGAAAAAGACTAAATATTCCATGTTTTTTTCTTTTGTTTTATATCATTGTAAATTGAATATTTTTACAATTTATGTTTTGAACTTTTGCATATATTTTAAATATATGAAAAAAGTTATCAGTTTTTCCACAATGCCATAAAAATGGCAAATTAACGTTTTGTACTTGTTTGAGTTGATGTTAAACCTGACTGTTACATGTAGGACATCCAGGTTTGACATCTCTGTATAATGCTAAAACGCCTGCCCAGTACTTTAGCAGCTGGACTGTAGTCTTAAAGGAATATGATACCAAAAATATATCTTCTGAGAATCAAATATTTACCAATTTTAGGGTTGAAAGATAGCTGTACAAGTTAGTAGCTTTCTCCTGTGGAGAATGGTAGATTCCCATGGATTTCTCTCACGGCCCAAAAACATCGCTCAAATCACTCCTGCAGCATAATCCACTTCACTGATGTGTGTGTTCGTTTTGCTCCAAAACACTTTCTCCACAACAGAGCTAAATACAATACAAAAAGAAGCTTTTGCCTTATCTTAGCCCTGAACCTCAGTTTGAAATGGCAAATGACGCTATGGTAAAGGGAGGATTGTTTGGAGCACACCGAACACACGCAATACCGATGAAAAAGTGGATTATGACTCAGGGGTGGTTAGAGAGGTTTCTATTGATGTTTTGAAACCTTTTTACTGTGCTTTCAGGTTGTGAAGCCGCTGAACCTGTTGTCTTAAAATGGAAGCTGCATAGATATAACCAGCCTCAACTGAGTAATCATAGTCTACGCTGCATATGATTGAAGCACCATTTTTTAGCACCAAAAATCACTTTGTTTTTTTGTTTTTTGTTGGCTGCTTTGCTCCCTCTGATGAGTGGCAGAGACACCAGCTGCCAATGTTTTTATTTGAATAATTTAACAAACAATCACTCAGTGATTTATTGGCCTGGAACCCAAACTCCAGCATTCAACTTTCCATTTCCTGTGGGGCCTGGCTATTTGTCGTACACTCAGGGTCAGACATGGAACTTGGCATTATGTGAGGTTAACTTTTGTCGTTGAATTTTTTTTAAGGTGTTTGTGGTGATTTAAGGCCTGGAACAGTTGCCAAAGAGTATAAATCATCTCATGTCCTTACTTTAATTTTCTTTTCTGTCTTGCTGTTTCTAGCAGCTGTTGTCATGTCAACATGTACACATTGCAACACATGCATTTATGCAGATTGAGGAGTATAGGCTGTAAATGACCTGTTATTTGGAAATACTTAATTTCGCCCACATCGGAGCAAACAAATGTGCAATTTTTTTTTACATTGATTAATGCTTAAAATGGTGCCAGAGGCCCGAGGGTGGGGGCCCTTTTTAGAGGTCCAAAGACAAAACACACCAGGGGTGACAATTTGGGTATAGTTTACCTTGTACCTTTACTTCAGTTACAAGGAATAACATAACATTAACATGTTCACAATGACCCATACAATCATTTTATACCCATCACATATCCTTTTGAAGTTGGCAATATGTGTTAATTTCCACCTCATTATGGAAAACTATAGAATATCCACTGCAGTGTGTATCATTTAAATACAGATAGTACAGACAGAGTTCTCTCAGTATTTGTGGGTGAAGCTTTTTGGCTATCTGAATGATGCTGAATTTTAACAGATTATGCTTCTCTATCTTGTCACCAGTAATGGAAGACAAGAGCTACAAGTGATACTCCGCTTATCATCTAGGCTGCCAGTTGTCAGGCTTTCACTTTGACTTCAAACATAGAGCACCATTATGGGAATGCCAAAATGGGATACATTAGGATACTAATATGTAAAAATACTCAGAAAATGCCTCTGCCTTTCATGTTACTAATGATTTTGGTAAAAAAAAATTTGAAAAACAGCTATTTTGAAACGTCATCAGATTATTTCAGTATGCTGTTTATTATGTCAAGGTATTTGGATAAATATACTATTATATTTAATATGATAATACATATACTATTTTGACTAGATTGGGCAGCCCTACTGATGACAGAGTAGATAGTGGATGCACGGAGGAAGTAATTACAGTAGATTGAAACTCACAACAATAACCAGCATAATCTCAGTATTACATGTGTGTTGAAATACACTGAAGACACTATTTCAAGACCAATGTGTGCATGACTTCAGGGTCAGGATAACAGCAGGTGAGGTTAGAGCTTTGATAAAAGTCATTGGCTTGTGTTCTCATACAGGTGCATGACTGCAGGGGCAGCATTGTCCTGAGGCACGGTGATATTTTCCTGCAGGGCAAAAGCTCATAGTGCAAGGCACAGCTGTCTTTAGTTGTTCAAAATGCCTTTTAATGGATCTCTCCAAAAATCACACAGCCAGTCTTTCCTGTTTCCCTTTGATTAGACAACCTTGTTCTATGGTATTGTACCAGGAATCAGTAATGCACTTTGTTTTATTTTTATGGTTACATTGGACCTCAGAAGTTGTTTCTTCATATCAAATAGCATTTTATTTGTATATTTGTTTGTTTGTTTGTTTACTATGGTAGCATAGTTTTATGTGTACAATTCAAATTAATTCTGTTCATGCTTTTGGTGCCAGTTGGTGCTGTAGTTCTTTTTTTATTTGCAATTGAATACATGCTCTTTTTCAGCAATGCCTGCTGATGTAAATGATCAGAATATAAAATTTAAATCACCCTAGGTGGTTGGCCACAATCAGTTTTCATTATTTTTTAAGTCATTTGTTTTTATTTATTTCTGATTGATAAATGTATCACTGCACTTAACATTATTATTGTTTAGCCAAATAATCACAAACTCACTACAGGGACATTGTATATTTGAGGCAAAACAAAAAAACTAGCAAAGTAAAAGAAATATACAAAGGCTCAAACTAACCATTTAAATATTTACAAACTCAAACAAACAATTTACATATAAGGTAATAGAAACACTCTAAAGAAAACACTCTAGAGAAAAGTGAGACAGAAGGTCAAACAAACTATTTACATATTTACAAGATATAGGATTGTCTTAATCCAAAGATCCGGTAAGAAAGAGTGAGAGAGAAGGTCAAACATGCTCTGCACGGCACACCTACTAACTGACTGCACACGGCACAAGAGGAGAGGAAGAGACTCTGGCACTGAGCCGTGGACTGAGTTTACTCTGAGCAGCATGTATGGGAATGAATTACAATATAATATACTTTAATGTATTTGTTTCTCTGGTCAGAAGTCATAGTTGTTTTCACGGGATGTCACAAAGTATTATCTACTTGGAAGTTACATTTGATTATTAATGGGCTTTTACACATTGTGGTGTTATTTTTTTTAAATCACTGAGCTAGATATCACAAGAAAGATTGTAAAGTCTTACTGAGGCTTCTCTGGATTGTAACCTTGTATAGAGAATAACAGTAACAATAACTTGCAGAACATACTTCACTACACTACACACCTACACACACACACACACACACACACACACACACACACACGTCATGTTTTAAATGAGATACGGTGTGTATGTGTGTGTGTGTCACAGTGGATTCCCCCTACATAGTGGCTTCCTTTTGGCTTCCTAGCTAATGTGTTGTCTTTCTCTCTGTGTATCTGTCTGTCTGTCTTTATGACTGTCTGTCTGTCATTTTGGTTGTTCATGCCCAAATTTTCTCTTTTATTTTTTGTCACTTTGCCACATTCGGCCTGTCTTTATTTTCTTTGCTTTTCATGTGACTTGTTTTTTGCATGTTTTCTGACTGTGTGTCCTCCTCTCCATTATCCACGGACTGCTTTCTGCCTGTTTTTGAGTGTTCGCTTTAAATGTATGTTTGTGTTTGTCTCTCACACGTCTCCGTCCATTTATGTGTATCTCTTTCTTTGTGTTTTTGTGTCTGTCCGTCTTTTCCTCTCGTCGCTGTCTCCATAATGTCCCCTCCTCCAGCCTTTGTGACTTTGCTGAACGGGGACCAGGCTCAGGATGCCATCCGCTCCCTCCATCACAGCACTGTCCGGGGACGCTTGATCAACGTCACCCTGCAGCCCACCGACTCCCTGCTCTGCCTCACCAACCTGCCCCACACCTTCACCGCCCAGCAGTTTGAGGAACTGGTACGCGCCTATGGAAATATCGAGCGCTCCTTCCTGGTGTACAGCGAGCTGACCGGTCACTCCAAAGGATATGGGTTTGTTGAATACATGAAGAAGGACTCTGCTTCACGGGCCCGTTCTGAGCTGCTGGGCCGACCGATGGTACGTTAGAAGAGTTAAAGTAATCAATAATCAAATTATATGATAAAGTTTTATTATTTAATGTTGTTATTGATCTATAAGATAGAGAGATGTTTATCAAAGGGCTTCTGTTTTTTTAAACCCTTTTTTAATGAGTATAGCATCCGTACAAAAGATGCATGTAGTATGCAGGGTCAAACCTGGGCTAAACCTAAATTTGACCTAAATTGGTTCTATTTTATTTTTAATTACCTGAATGGAACAAAGGATTTGGTTATACTGAATTGGACAAAAGGGCAACACAAAGCAGGACACATATTTATATCTTTTTATGTATTAAATCAAAATACAATTGCGACCAGCTGGCCTGATTTAATTCAGTTATAAAACATACAGGTTCGGCTGGTCGAGTTTAGTTTCAGTTTATCTCCTGAGTATGAAATATAAAATTGCAGTGTAAACATAATCAATGTCTCTGGGAAGAAATGCTAAACAAAAAACTCCACATCTAATTTTAATGAACCAAAATAAGTTTACTTTAGATTATACAACATTTTGTCTGACCTTGCCTTTGTGATCAGCTCGAGTGGGGAAACAAAAACTGTAGATGGAAGGGCAGCTCGAGAGCTGACACACTCTCAAAACAGCACTTTAGAGCCAAGAGGGTGAATATACAATATCAAGTAAATCCATATTTACAAATATTTATTTTTTAATAAATGCAGAGTTTATGCGGAGGGTACTTGTCTAGCATAGGAGTGTGGAGCCAGTTTAGGGTTTTAAAAATCAGATTCTGTATCACACTCTATTATTGCGCAGGGTGATCGCTCATTGATGGTGCAGTGGATGGACGTCAACCAGCTGAGCCAAGAGGAGAACCTGCACTCCAAGTGTCTGTGTGTGAACCGGCTGCCGCTGGACCTCTGTGACTCTGAAGAACTGACCCAGCTCTTCTCTGAAACCTACAAACCTGTCTTCTGCCAGGTGAGTGTGTATGTGAAATGATGTCGAGACATAGGGATTCTGTAGCTCTTTGCAAACTTAGGTATACTGTACAGAAAGTTATTAATTCATACTGTTTCACGGTATGTTTAAAGCGCTGACATCTAAATATGACAGGCAATTTAGCAAGTATAATAACAGCCTAACAAAAATGTGACAGGGTCTTTTTAGTTTTCACACCTCGTACGAGCGAGATCAGATCTGCAGAACTGTGTATCCAAGAGGTTACGGCTCACTGAACATGTCTGTGCTGTGAAACTAAGGTTTGAGATAAATGTTCCCAAATTCTGTTTCACATTTTCCCAGAGCCTCGGAGTGTTGCTGCAGCTGTAAAGAAAATGTTTTTCATTGATAATGTCACACAAACTCCTGAAGGATCTGTTCTTCATAATATCTATGACACACTCACTTTGAAATGGTGTCCTCCTTCCGCACACACACACAACTATATTAATCGAACACCACCAGGTGAGAAGTGATAATATAAAATGCAGAGATCCGCGTCCCTATCGGCCAACCTCGCTGTATCACCAAGCAACTGTTTCCATGGTGAGGTGTGGCTGCTGTGACACCAGCCCCACCCTTCACCTCCCTCCCTCCCACTCTGTTTTTTTTTTTATACTTGCTCAGTTCAGCTGTATATACACCACCACCCTGCCCCATTACATCCACTCCACCCCCACATGCCCATTTAGACATCACTCAATGGGTATCTGTCATCTACTGCATTTCCAGTTTTAGCTCCACCCCTCTGCCCCACTCCCACATAAAAATCAATACACCCACATCATCCCGGTCCAGTGATGCTTTGTGGGTGTTTAGCTCATGTTGCCTCGCTGTTGCAGAGCCAGCAGGCGTTGACCTATAGTTCAGCGTTTTTTATGTACCTTACAGTATGTGCTTGCTTGTGTGTGAGTATTACTGCACTCAGCACGCAAGCACTAGAATGCTTAAAGGAAAAGCTTATGAAAGCTTGTACACCAATGAATATGATGCAGAAACAACATACACGGATGTAAAAACATACATGGTAGCATTCAAACGAATAGTCACTATTATTTTACTAACTATGGCTGCTGCTTCAGTCCATATAGGCCGCTAGCTATAGAAAGGCCCCACTGCACTTGCACTTATAATGCATGTAATGCAAGGTCATACATTCATCACATCTTGTTTATTATGCTTTTGTACATGTGGCCCGTGCTCTCCCACGTGAGCTACTGTGGCTCCCCCACAATCTTTGGTTACCAAATTTAAGGGATTCTTATATAAAAGAGTAAATATTTTCCTATATATTATTGTCAGATTTTTTACCAATATATGGGCTTTAGTATATTAGCTACAATATGGGCATTTCACAGTTCAGAATAATATGCCACTGAACTGTAACAGCAGAATATCACTATATTACCCAGCTTAGCTTTACTTCCTGCACTTTGGTACATTTAACCTTTCAAAACATAATTGAAATGTATCAACTTTATTTACAATCTTCATTTAAAATATATAATTATACATAAATTAACATTTGCACTATTTCTGCCTGAGAGCAAACATGACAGAGCTGTTGTGGCATTCATTTGAAGCAAAGTGGCTGATGTTTCGTTTGCAGACACCGTACAAGTTTGTCAGTTAGTCGAGCGTGATACTACTGGGGATACACTTGATTTCAATGCAAGAATGTACAATACATTGTGTGAAAAGCATTGCTCCCAGTGCACCGTGTTTTTATTATTTGTGTTGTGTTTTAAGGCACATACCCACCTATGGTTAGTGCAGCCTGTCTGGTTTCACATTTTCCACCATAAAGTTAAATATATTTGGGCATCCTGGAGGCCTAGGTGATTAAGATGCTCACCATATAAACAGTTATGATACTTAAAAAGAGGTTGGTCTTCTTTGTTTGTCTCCATTTGTCTTAGATCATTACCTGATGTGTCTTACTGTTGTCAACTGCAGTCTGTCTTCCTCCTTGTGCACATTGGTAGAACTTGGCCCTCTTGTCACTTTTCCTATGTTCAGAGTGCACTTAACCTGTGGCCTTGGCCTTCAGCTCTATAATTCTGCTACCCACGAATGGGCCCTCCAGGCAGCACTTAAGCTTGAATCAGCCAGGAGAGATGGAGAGAGGACAGGGTAGCGAATGTCAACCATATTAGAGGGAAGGATAGCAGGATGGAGACAGTAGGGAGGGATGGGAAGAAGAGAGGAGGGAGGGTGATGCTGAGAATGCCAGACTTATTAGAGAGAGGATGGAGTGAGGGAGGAGAGGGCTGACAGTGTCAGGGCTAATAGAGGGAGGGAGGGAGATGGGGAGAGAGGGAGAGCTGAAGTGAAATAGTGAAGGGAAGTAGACTGTCAGTCACAGTAAGACGATTGTTGGCATATTTGCAACTGTAAATGTAATAATAATGACTGAGAGCAATTTAACACATTTACTTTAAAAAAGAACAAATTTGGTCTGTGATATATCTGTAATAGGATGGAGAGGCTTCACAGAGGAGGAACATAAGGATGGATGGATGTTACAGAGGGTTAGGTTCCACTCTTTACAGGCCACAGGGCAAATTAATGGCAGATCTAGCAGATATGATTACTCTTGTCTGGCTCAATAAGGTTGTCCAAGTAGTACAATGACAAAGAGGACGCAGACAGTAGAAAACACCCCTCCTACTTTGCTAGTCGCCACAGTTAGTGCAACAGATTATGGTCACATATTACACAGACAAGAACAATACACATGTATCTGGCCATGTTACATATAAACAATGTTGCATCAAACATTTAGAATTATTAAATAATCATTTTTACATCACAAATTAAATTTTCACAGAAAAAAAATATTAAAATCTTTTCTTATATCTGGGGAATAAGATTTTGTAGGCCAGGGCATCTCTGTAGCACTATAGTACTTCATTATAATAGCTGTTTTGTCACACATTTTAGCTTGATCAAAAATTGCAGCTCCTGCGATTTGGATATTACACTTGGCCATATTGCGATTTGGATAATATTTCGATTCAATGTGCATTCCTACTAGAAAGCTACTTTAAGTGAAAACCATAGACTGTATAATAAAATATGGACATAGTCTCCATGGCATCACCCATATGTTGCTGAAGAGCCACTGTAAAGCTCAGTGTGGTCGCAATCTTGGCAGTCATGATTCCCCGGCTCCTGGCTCATCCAAAAATGGGCAAAGATGTGGAGCGTGGGTGGAGCTGAGCCAGGCTGAATGAACACTGGTTACTGGAAACAGCACCAAATTTACTACTCAATGCAGGACTTTTACTTCTAACAGAGTTTTTTTACAGTGTGGTATTAGTACTTTTTAATAAACGGAGTACTTCCTCCACAACTGAATTTTAAGTGGATAGAATTGCAAAACAGATAATAATCAATAGGGATAGATACAAAGATTGATAAACCTCCCTGTTAGAGGAACATAATGAGTTTTATTTTGCTGTCAGAAAATCTTGGTAGTCACCTTGTTTTATTCAGAAGCAACAGAAAAAAGCAAATTTTGAATATGTAATGTAATTTACTCTGAAAAAAACGTTCCTCACAATCATCAACAATGATTGTTGCAGAGCTAATTAAAGTCTTTCCAAGTACAATCTTTAGATGCTTGACACAGTTATTGCCCCCCTTTAGTGAAAGTTGCTCTGTTTTTCAAGTTTTATTCGAGGAAAGAATAACTCTAAGATAGGTGTCATGTTAGAAAGATAATGAAAAAGCTCCACAAACATTTGTTTGTTGGATTTCAGTAGAATTGTTTCATGTGAGATTGCCCTGAGATTGAAACCTAAAACGAACGTGTGCTTGATTGTTTTATCTCTCTCTCTTTAGTCTCTCCCTCACTTTCACATACACAGAGACACACTCCACTCATCCAGCTCTCTTCATACAGATCTTTACAGTTAAACTTGTCACTGTGACAGGTCATGTACCTTTCTTTACAGACAGCTGTGACAGGGCTGTCGTGACCTCATCACTCAGTTAAGACAGTTGATGTGGCCGTTTAAACTCTGTCAGACTTACACACACACAGGGGTGTTCCACACAGTCTTTGACCCACCAGTGCCTCAGTCAGCATCTCTTGGCTGGGGACCGCGACTCAGGGTCAAGAGCTGTCAGACACACTGATAGCTAGCTTAGCATCTTTGGTTTCTGCACTCACACACATACATACACATACAGAGACATACTGTGGCTAATGCATTTGGGAAAATACCATTTATTATGAAGTTTCCATTGTTGCAGTCAATACCTGTAAAAACGAGCTGCGACATCAAAGAATATTGACCCCATTGATTGTTTTTTCCTGGCAAACTTCTGATGTCTTTATGTGTGTGTATGTCTTTATGCTGATAAAATTCAGCATGGCACATAGCGCCCTTTGTCTTTGATTAAACATCCGTCTGCCCTTTGTGATTTCAGTAAAATATCCTCACTTATATTTCTGCTGTTGAACCAATTACACTTGCTGGGGTGCCCGGTTAGCTCTATTGATAGAGCTTTGCTGCGTGTCATCCCTTCTCTCTGCCCCCCTTTTCTGTCTATCTTCAGCTGTCACTATCAATTAAAAAAAATAATTAAAAAAAAGCCCAAAATTACACTTGCTGATGTTAATAATTCCTAATGTCAGCCAAGGGACTTCTATAAATATGGTGTCTTCGGGTGCAAAAATGCATAAAGTTGAACACATCAAATCAAGTTACTCACATAGGTAAAATAAAAGGTAGGTAAAGAACTACCAACCAATCTGTCTAAGTTGGTATTTATCATCAAGAATATTTTCTGGAATTTACCTTCATCTTTACATCGGCATGAACAACACACGTCTTGTGATTTGATCCTCGAACTGCAAACTCCTTGAACACTTTGGACATCGGCTTTTATATCTTAATGAAATGAGTTTCTATGGCAGTCTGTCATACTGTACAAGAAAGCTGCTGTTAATTATGCTAATATTCAAGCTA